CTATAGAAAATGGAATTTCCGGGAATTCTCAGGAGAAAACAACTACAGGTGATCAAGGTCATGGTGCATCGATAAACAGAGTTAGAGCTAAGAAACTGACTGCTCATTCGCAAAAAAAGACATGTTGGGCATGTGGTAAAGTGGGACATTGTCATGGAAGTGCAGATTGCCCTGCAAAAGGGAAGAAATGTCATACCTGTAAGAAAGAAGGTCATTTTGCTCAATGGTGCAGGAGTAAAACGCATTCCAAGGACTTCAAAGGGAAAAGTAAAGAGAAACGGAGTTATGTGAAACAAGTAAATGATACCCCAACCCAGCATCCTGAAGAATTGGAGGAATGTGACTATGTTTTTACAGTTTCGATTACTAGTGTTGACAAAGACAGCAAGATTGACATTGAAGTTGGAGGTGTTCAGATCTCAGCTATCATTGATTCCGGTGCTTCCGTTAATATCATTGATCGACGCTTGTGGGAATATTTGAAGAAACAGAAAATCAGCTGTACTTCACAACTGACCAACATGAAATTATATGCGTATGGGAGTCGCAATTCATTGACCGTAGCAGGATGTTTTACTGCACAAGTGAATGTTTGTGGTAGTGACAAGTCTATGCAGGATGTTATCTTTTATGTGATAGAAGAAAATGGTCAACCGCTCTTGGGTAAGGACACAGCCACCAAACTTGGAATTTTACACATTGGTAAATCTGGAAACTCAGAATCTGGACTGGTACAAAAGGTTACAGACACAAAGGCCAAATTGAAAGCAAAATATCCAGAGTGTTTTGAAGGACTGGGGAAACTGAAAGATTTTCAATTGAAGATTTCAATTGATGACGATGTGAAACCCGTCGTACAACCATTAAGGAGGATACCTTATCATTTACGAGGCAAAGTTGAACAGAAGTTACAGGAACTAGAGTCATATGACATTATTGAGAAAGTTGATGAACCTAGTGATTGGATGAGTCAAGTGGTAGTGGTACCAAAAGCAAATGGTGACATCAGACTATGCGTTGATATGCGTAGGGCCAATGAGGCTGTCATGCGAGAAAGGTACGCAATTCCTACGATTGATGATATTTTGAGTGACTTGAATCAGAGTCAAGTGTTCTCGAAATTGGACATTAAGTGGGCCTACCACCAGATTGAACTGGACCCTAGTGCAAGGAAAATAACCACTTTCCAAACACATAAAGGAAACTTTCGATACAAGAGGCTGATGTTTGGAATTTCTTGTGCACCAGAACTGTACAACAAAATTATTCACCAAGTATTGAAGGATTGTGAAGGTGTACAGAGTATATTTGACGACATTATCGTACACGGAAAATCCCAAGAAGAACATGACACAAATTTAGATAGACTCTTCCAGAAGTTGAGCGAGAAAGGTCTCACAGTTAACTTGGACAAGTGTCAGTTCAATATGCCATACATATCCTTTATGGGACATATACTATCTAAGCATGGAATCTGTGTTGGTGAAGACAAGGTCAAAGCTGTATTAGAAGAGAGACAACCATCGAATGCTGCAGAAATCCGGAGCTTTTTGGGACTTGTTAATTTCAGTGCACGATTCATACCCAATCTAGCAACAATTGTAGAGCCGCTAAGACGACTCACAAGGAAAGGAGCAAAATTTCAGTGGGAACGTGAACAGGATGATGCTTTTAAGAAACTGAAGGAGTTGATGGCAAAGGCATGTACATTAGCATATTTCGATCCTAAGGCTACAACCAAGGTTGTCGCAGATGCATCACCAGTTGGACTTGGTGCAGTCTTGATCCAACAACAAGGCAAAGACCAGAGAGTTATTTGTTATGCAATCCGTAGTTTGTCCGATGTAGAGCGCAGGTATTCACAAACTGAGAAAGAGGCGCTCGCACTTGTTTGGGCCTGTGAAAGATTCCATATGTATCTGTTTGGAAAGGAATTTGAACTTTTAACAGACCATAAACCTTTACAGTTTATATTTTCTCCAAGATCGAAAGCTTGTGCTCGTGTCGAGAGATGGATTTTACGCTTACAGTCGTATAAGTACAAAGTTGTGTATATACCTGGACCACGGAATGTTGCAGATTGTCTATCAAGACTACTTCACAAAGCTGACAACAAAACCTCATATGATGAAACAGAGCAATACATCTGTTTAATTTCTGAAGGAGCTACACCTGTTGCCATGACAACCCATGAAATTGAAAGAGCTTCATCAGAGGACAGTGATCTTGAAGAGGTTAGGAAGTGTCTCATCACAGGGAATTGGAACAAAATAACTTGTAAGGAATACTTACCTGTTAAAGATGAATTATGTGTAATTGGACATTTAGTTTTGAGAGGAACTAGAATTGTGATCCCTGAAGTTCTGAGAAGGAAAATACTGAATTTGGGACATGAAGGTCATCCTGGTATAGTTTGGATGAAACAACGCCTGAGATCTAAACTATGGTGGCCGGGCATGGATAAAGGTATAGAGAGACACTGTAAATCATGTTATGGATGTCAGTTGGTAGCTAAACCAATGAATCCAGAACCATTGCACAGGACTGAGTTACCCTCAGAACCATGGCAGGATTTGGCTATTGACTTCTTAGGACCATTGCCATCAGGGGATAGTTTATTTGTACTTGTGGACTACTATTCGAGATGGGTGGATGTGACCATCATGAAATCGACGACAACAGACAAAGTGATTCAAAGTTTGAAAAACACTTTTGCTACACATGGTGTTCCATCATCAATTAGGACCGATAATGGACCTCAATTTGTTAGTGGAGAATTCAAGGAGTTTTTGCAGGAGTACGGAATATCTCACCGAAAGACAACACCATTATGGCCTCAAGCCAACGGGGAAATAGAGCGTCAAAATAGTTCTCTTCTCAAAAGACTCAAAATAGCTCAAGTCCAGAAACGAAACTGGAAGGATGAATTGCTCACGTACCTTATGATGTATAGATCTACACCACACACTGTGACTGGAATTAGTCCATCCCAAATGTTATTTGGGAGAACAATCCGTACAAAACTACCCGAATTATGTCAACTTAATGGTACTTGTGCAGAAATTCGTGATCGAGACAGGGAAAACAAGGAGAAAGGCAAAATATACACAGACGCAAGGAGAAATGCACAAGAAAATGATCTACAGGAAGGAGATTTTGTGTTGATGAAGCAAAAGAAAACCGACAAGCTTTCGACCAATTTTAGTCCAAGTCCGATGAAAATTGTGTCAAAGGCAGGAAATGGTGTATTGGTAGAATCTCCCGAAGGTGTGCGATACAGAAGGAATGTTACGCATCTCAAAAAGTTCATAGGGGAAAGGCCGAGTTCATCAAGTGAATATGTGAAAAATAAAAGTGTGTCCTTGCAGAATGAAAATGTGTCAAACCATGAAATTGTGTCAAATAATATGGCAAGTGAAAATATGTGTAATGAAAATGTGTCAGTGTCAAATCAGTGTGAATATAATACAAATTCTAATGAATCCAGTGCTTGTGATTTGTACAGTGATGTTTCAAATTCTTTCGATGATTCTGGGAAACTTCAGTCAAGTCCAAAGAGTCCAGAAACTACTGTTCACACTAGACCGGTACGCGAACGGAAAATGCCAATCAAGTTCAAGGACTATGAACTGAGTTGAGTAATTTGTCATCTTTGTTAATTTTTGCAATTATTGACATTCAAAAGGTCTATGGATCAATTGTCTTTTATGTGTTATGAGTACTTCATATTACTTGTCTTGAATAAGTGATAAAATTTTATTTTAGGATAAAGGCATTATCAGAAAGGTTGTATTCTCATTTAGGAAAAATAGGGTTTTCACATATTAAGATTTCATGTACATTTAAAGTAAATATTGAACTGGAAAAAGGGAGGGAATGTAGTGTATTGGCTTATTTCATGTATTCAAAGAAAGATAACTCTATGATCTATCATTTACTGTCTTATACGTCATGTTGTGTAATACGTCATTAGTATTGTTGTAGTTGAATAAATTGTGAACCCTAACTGCCTAAGCACGTGTTTATAGCTGGGACAATGTATGGATCGGTATCCGGGGTTAATTGTAATAAACCACAGGGATACGACAGTTTAACTCTTCAGAAATGTGGCTTGAACAGAGAGGTAATAATATATATTTATGATATTTTTGTAAACAATGTTTGGGATATACTTAAGAATCAGACATCATGTCTGTGAGTGTCTCTATGTTTGTCTGTCACATTTTTATATCCAAATTGTTATAACCTTGTTACTTCCCACCCAGGCTGCCCCTAGTGTAAAGCAGTTGGTGTTAAGATCAGTCGATGAAGGTCAAGGCCATAGAACTTAATTTAATGATATTTGTGAGACTTCCAAGGCTGAATCTCTGTAATCCAAGAATGTACCTTGATCCAAAATCATGGACATAGAACCCCTTATTCAACAGAAATTGTGTTTGGTCTATAATATTTGTTTATTGAAACATCAGAAGTCTGCTTGAGACAATGGATTCTTGACTTTGAACTAAGGCCATTCCTGTAATTTCATATTGTTTGATATTGTACCTTATCATCACAAATATGATATTCATTCAAAAAAGGCACAGCAGTGGATATTCCTTGACCAGAAAAAAAGGTCATCAGACGTTTTTATTGAAGGGGCACAAGCATATAGCATATATGTTTTCTATAGTATTAAATCTATGTATGGGCAAAATTATTGGGGGGGGGGGGCACCCCCCCTCCCCAGTTCCTACGGCCATGAAAATGCTACCTTCTTGCATACACATTAGAGTTTGGGTTTGCATATGCAGGATTTATAAGTTAAAGGAATTGAATTAACAATGTAAGTTAAGATAAACTTCATTTGAATTTCAGGGAATGAATATTATTCATGACCTGGGAATAGCAATTTCCCCTACAAGTCTACATAAGAAAACAAAGGAGCTTGTGAAGCAGCAAGAAAATCAGATACATTCATTGATGACTTCCTATGTAGAGAGGTTGAAAGGAAGCATATGATGGGAAATGAAAATGGTGCAGAGAACGAAATGGATACAGGTGCAGTTAACAAAAAGCAGCGACCAATTGAAATACTAGGTGACAATCTAGATATTACAATTACCCCTTCTAAAATGAGCTTGCAAAACCAAAGGAAAAGTTTACACTGGTTTCTAGTTTTGGTTAAAGAGAAACAAATCACTTTTGAGGAATCTAAAGTCCCCTTTGAACCACCTGTGGATTTTGCAGCATTGAATACTGTAAACTGGATCCCATCAAGTGAACAATTGAATTCTTTAATGTCAAGTTTCAAATTTCATGTAGCTAGTGTACTCATGCATTATGTTCCATACCTACAGTTACATATCACAAGTTTTCCCAAGCATATTGAGCACATTTACATGAACCAGGTGAGAAAGAAATCTGTTTTTCTGAACTGTGATTTAATAGAGGCCAGTGAGAATAGCTCACAGGGTATGATAGAAATTCTTCAAAAAGTTCATCAACTTGCTGTTCCGCATGTTAGGGATAATCCTGATAAGAATGTTTTGGAAAAGGTAGTTTTTGGTGGGGACGTCTTGACGAACGAAAGGGCATTTAGTGCCCAAGAAGCAATGCAGAACAGCCCCTCTGAGTACGAGTCCCTGTTAGGTGTTATTCACAGACCAGAGGGTCTACATAGAGAAATGAACTTCCTTCTGGTATAA